ATGGAGAATTATGATCGGTTTTAGTAAGTCGAAAATAAAAATCAGGGTAATCAACTTGGTTAAAACAGTGCGGTACCAATAGCCAAAACAACATACAACGGCTAAACTCTTGAGATAACGTTTTCGAACAAATTATTTCACGAGACAATGTTCTCCTAAGATTAATTGCTCAAATAGGGTGAAATCTACAGTGTTGGCCGTAGGTCGTCATGTCTTCCCGGCGAGCTATGAGAGAGATTGCATGTGCCATGCACGTTCCAACACGCTGGGTATCCAAGGCCATCTGACCGAGGGCATCCGACCGAGGCTATTCGAGCGAGCTATGCGAGGGCATCCGAGGGCAAGAGGAATCACGCGAGGGGCAAGAGGAATCACGCGAGGAGCAGGAGGGAGTGCATGGCGACCTACAAGGTCGCCCGGAGGGCATGGCGACCTATGCTTGGGGACGTGCATGGCTGGCCACGTAGTAGGTCGCCCGGAAGGCATGTCGACCTACGGCCAACACTGTAGATTTCACCCTATTCGATGAATTAATCTTGAAAGAACATTATCTCGTGAAATAATTTGTTCGAGAACGTTATGTCGAGAGTTTAGCCCAAAACAACAGCCACTCCTAGAGGATTCTCACGGATTATTTAAAAGGAACCTATCTAGTCGAAGAGGTGTTTGTGCCCCGAAAATGATTGAGAAATTGTATAATATATGCATAGGAGACATGATAGTGGTGATTTCCTACACTAGGTACCTAATATTTATAATTATAGGATTTTTTTTTGAAGGATATGCGTAGGAGAAATTAAATACGTTTGGTACCTGCTATTTATTACCTGCTGCTCACACGAAATCCGCGCTAGAACCACAGCAGCTTGCACGATATGCGGGAACGAGGAATGGGGTACGCTATTTGTTTCGATCCCTTGGGGGCTATGGAAAAAATGGAAACAATATGGTTTTCAATAGGGCAAAATGGACAAAATGGCTTACTTCACCTCCAAGGACATGGACCCTAAACAGAAAATCAATTTCGTTAAAAAAGTTGGGTGGATTAGCGGTGGCAATAGCTAGAACAGCAGCCACTCCTGGGCGATTCACATGACATGGATTATTTCAAAGCCGTCTAGTCCAAGAGGTGTTTGTGAAAATGATTTAGTTGGCCACCTGAATGGACAACATGAACCTAATACTGTAACTTAGAGACGAGCACACCAATCATTACAATGAACTTAACTGTGCACAATAAATGTTTATAGAACCTAAGCCTAATAATATTGCCTGCCCCATGTGCTTGTGGCAGGTGATGTGGCAGGTGATGCTTTATAATAATTATCCTCCATCTCAATAATTTTTTAATATTATATTTTTGAACTTTAATATATTTTTAATAATTATTTTTCGATTATATTTTGAGCTTTTTATATTTTCAAAGTAAAAAAAACTGTGTTTATCTAATTTGTGCCTTGTATTTTATTTTATTATTTCAACTTTGATTAATTTTGTGTTTTACATTAAACACAGTCATTAAAAAATATATACATGATTGAAAAAATCTTTATAGACAATTAGAGCATAAACAATAAGATAGATCAAACTAAAAGTGTTACCAAATTTATTAGCGAAAAGCAATTCTTATCAATGAAATTAAATATGAGATAAATTACCTTATTCCGCAGTCAACTATCATCACACTTTTCTGTCTTCCTTTTTTTTCCATTTTTTTTGTTTGAGTTTAATTCGTTTTCAATACATTATATCAATCTTTTTCTTTGATTTTGTTTAACCGACGATGACATCAGTTTTAATATTAATTATCGATTGTTAGTTCTTTTTTCTCTTTTTTTTCTTTTATTTTTTAATAAAAATAATTTTACGTGTTGCATGTTTATCTCTGTCTTTGTAGCACGTTTTTTTTCTAGAATTTGTCTGTTCTTTTATTTATATTTTCTCATGGTTATATTTGACAATGTAACGACTGGTCAATATGGCGCTTATTTGAAATCTTGTTGATATTCTCTGCTATGGACCTTCAGATTGAATTTAGATGTGTGATTCTGCGTTTGTGGATAGTTTCTTATTGCGATCGACTCTTATTTGTAGTTCTTCGATGGCCTTTCAATAGTCTAACTTTCTTTTATGGTTTGTTTGCCGATGTAATCATATTTGTTCGTATTTATTTTTGTTCGAGTCTTTTGATTGAGTTTTTTTATTTTTTTCCATGTATGATTCTTATATAATCTAACGTGACTAGTTTTAATGTTATGGGAAAAATCTAAATTATGTATTTAGCTTACGATGATAATTGTAAACTCTTATTGTAATTTTAGATATTTTCACTTTTTAATAATACCAGCAGCTTCTATTAAAAAAATGGTCATCACTTTTCTTTTTTTATTTTAATCATTAATTTTCTTAAAATAAATTCATCAACAATATATTTTTTTCATCTGTGTCATTAAAATTTTATTAGTTTTGTTAAAACAAAATCATCAATACTTTTATAGTTTTTCTAGTATGGTATTTTTCATTAAAACTTTATGAAGACGGTGATGTCACATATATGATCTGATCTGATAGTCTAGTCGACAAGGTCATTCCTTGAGTTACCCTTCTCTTCATACTTCAATGATTTGTCCCTCAGATTAATATGTCATAAAGCCACATCATACTTCACGATAGATATTTTCGATTCATTAGTCAATTTCATAGACACATAGTCAAATAAACAAGTCATATATTAATCCATAAGTCAAATAAACAAGTCATATATTAATCCATAAGTCATAAAATATCCAAAAGTCACGAATACATTTGGATAGAAGATCCCGTGAGTCTTATAAGAGCATGATCTGAAGCCCAAATACCCCAAATCATCCCTAAATTTTTTTAAAGAGACGTATCATCCACTTGGTCCAATGCCTTGCCTATACACTTCGACCCCATATAAACCTAAGAGAAAATTACTTACATACAAAGTAGTATTTATTTTAAATACTCTCAAGCATTTGCAATAAATATTCAATCACCTAGTTGTAATCGTTGGTGCTCGAACCTGTGAGCTCTAGGAACAACAACGATTCCTTTAACCGTTGAGGTAAATTGGTTCGTGCAATTTAATAAATATAATCTTTCAATTAAAATTAAGAAAATATGAATTGAATTGGGCGGGGATTGCAGCTGGACCCTCAACATAAGTAACGATTAATTATTATGCCAATGTTAATAATAGTTACATAGTTTTCAAAAATAATATTTATGTTAAATTATGGTTGAAATTGAATATAATTATTTTATTAAACTACTATATTTTATATTTTTATATAATAAAAAATAATTGTAAATCAAATTTAAATTAATATAAAATAAATCAAAATATCTTGACACGTACTAAAATCTTTATCGAATTATTAATCATATGATTATGTTTTTCTTAATTGAGCAAATTTTAAATTTTGGATTGACGTGGATATGGTCCTGTAATTTAGATTTTAGATATTGGGTTTCATTAAGTTTAGGCTTGAACTTTTGAATTTGAGATTGGTTCAATCAAATGAACATTGGGCTTATATATATATATATTAGGTACTAAAATTTTAAAGAATAGAATATGTAAATAGTTGACTAATATATAATATTTGTTTTTGTTGAATCTTGTGAATTATAAAAAATTATAAGGTAAATTAAGCATTTAGTATATAAACTATTAGTTTTGATTATTTTAATACATAAACTTTTGCACGACATTTTTATAGGTAAATTGCATCATTCATTATTTAAATATTTTCTCACTCCTATTTAGCTCATTAAAGTTTAAAAATTTTCAATTTAACTAATTAATTTTCAAATTGCTCATGTTTTAATAACTCTAATTTATTTTATTAATAATATTTTGTGACAAGATATTTTCTTATTATTTTATTAATATTTAATTAAAATAAATTTTTTTTTTGAAAGTTAGAGTGATTAAATTAGGAATAATTTGAAAGTTAAGTAAATAAATTAAAAAATAAACTTTAACAACCAAAATAAGAGTGAGAAGATAGTTGAGTGACAACTGATATAATTGACTCATAAAAAAGTGTCAAGTTGTAACAGTTTTGCTATGTTTTTAACGACGGGTACTAAAATAAAACAAAAACTAAACGTTATAAGTATTAAAACGGGCCAAAATTAATAGTTTAGGTACTAAACACGTAATTTACCCAAAATTACAATATAATTGTAACAAGTTAGTATCTCCTCTAGTTCATTTTCATCATCTCCATTACAATCATTGTTCCTTCACTGCTGCGGTCAGCCATCTCCGTTCTCACCTGCATCAGTGTTAGATCTTCTAAAAGTCTACGACGAGCGATACATGCCTGATTTACACAATTGATTCATTTTGGCATGATATATTATCAGAAATTTAATGGGCAATCGCTGTTTCCAATGCAAAGCATGTTCTTTCTCCTCCAACGTCATTTAGAAAAATCAAATAAGCATGCAAGTTTAGCACAATATCATATTTAGTATATATTCTTTCTCCGACGTACGGGTACTCGGATATAATAGGCCGGGACATGGACCAAAATTTTAATACTCAAAAATTCTTGATACCCGGTTTTGAATATCACTATTAAAAACTTTCAATCCAATTGTATGGTTGTACTCCCATATAGGTTTGTGATTAAATTATTACTATTGTATTATAGATTTTACTAGTGGATATTTTTTATAATTTATAATTGACATAACAAATGACGAAATTATAAAATTTTAGGAAAATTAAAGTTCAAAAATTATTTTATTAAATCAAATAATTAATTTTTAAGAGGAAAAAAGTACATATTTTTTCACTTAAGAGTTTAAAAGCTTAAATTAAATGTTTAGTTTTAAGAAGGGACTAAAATCAGAAATTTCCCATTAATCAAATGGCAGTGTTATCGTATGTTTTGTAACACTATTTTTTACAATCTCTCTTTTTTAGCATCTTCTGAGAAAGCAACAAATAATCAAGCAAACCAAGATAACAATTACAGGGGAAACTAGATAATCAGATCGAACATGTAATAATCCCATGCAGCTCTGAATTTTGGTTATGGTAAGCGATGTTTTCTGCTCACTTCAAACTAATATTGGAAGGCAAAATCATGATTCTTCCTCACTCTAATGGGAAAAAGAAAAACAGAGAACTCTGTCTGAATCTGAACATACACTGACTTTGCAGCTGTCTGGGAAATCTCATGTACCCATTTTACGTAAACATTTCGCAATACTGGAAAGATAATTTGCATATTGAACTCCATTTTCAAACATGGCCCAAGGCTGGTGTTTTACCGCTATGCTTTGATTTTCCTATTGAAGATGAAAGACAAGCAACACTTCCCCTTACGCCTGCATTAATTCAACATGAAAAACTCAAATGAATTTATGAATGATTCCTATATATATCTCCCATACAATCCAACTATTTTTATTGGAAACCCTTATCTGTTAATGTTTACAAGGCACAAAAATAGTCGAAATTTTATCTGTTATATAACACACCTGCCGCCGGTATTGCTGCTGCTACGGCTGCTTTTGGTGCTTCCACTGGTTACATTGGATCCACCGCTGTCACTCTCGCTCGACCCCGATCTCTTCTTCCACCACTCTTTGTCTATGCTCTTACCATACTCATCTGATACTGTTGGCTTCGGTGAAACTCTAAAATTGTAATTCACATTTGAACCATTCCTCTTGTTCTTCGACTTTGACCCCGAGGAAAAAGGAAACACCATTTTCAGAAGAAACCCGCCATTATCAATGCTCCCAATTCTATTGATTCGCGGTTTCTGATTCTTCTTCTTCCCCTTATCTTTGATGTATGTATCTCCATTGATGGCACCTCTCCCTACAGCACAACTCTCCTGTTTCGGTTCAACAGCCGGATCCCGGTGCTCCACAAGATCTTTCAAGGTGAGTTCGAAACAAGACTCGGGCATTCTGCTAACCATTTCCATAAGCTCCATTTGGCCTCTAGCGATGGCCTGAGCTTGCGATGACGGCGATAAACATCTGTAATTAATGTTATTTCCAATCGTTGAAGGATTAGTTCCCCATAAAGGAGGAGTAGAAACCCCAGACTCATCTTCCATCACGCCAGTTCCATCAGCTCCCATGGTGTTCCAACTCCTGTAATTTTGAGCAGTCTTTTGCACCCTGGAATCGTACTTCTTCCCCGTGTGTTTCGACATTCTGAAATCAGATTGGGGCAGCTTTTTGGCAGGACCAAACATGTTTTCTGTGGATGAAAATTGGTTTTGAAGGCAAAGGGGTGATTGAAGATTACTTCCAAGGAAGGGTGGGTGTTGAGCCTTTATCTTCACCAACTCGTTTAGTCCATTTATCATTAATTTCCTTTAATAAATTGGTTTTAATGGGGAGAAAATTGTTGGTTCACGGGATCATAAAAGTCAATAAATTCTAGAGGGCCATCCTTTTCTCCATATAAATCTATATATGTTGTATTGGGGTCTTTTGAGAAGATTTTGCCTTTGTTTTCTTTTCATGTAGAGATTTAGAAAAACACATACAACTTGTCCCCTTCATGTTTTTATGTTTTTTATTCCTTTTTCAGCAATATTTTGACTGACGCATGCTACATTTGGAGTAAAATGATGAAATTAGTTGTAGTATAAGTGATTTTTTTTATAAAGAGAAGGTGAAAATTGAAAATTATAGTGATTGGGATTAATTATTAAGATTGTTAGGTTAGATATTGTATTTATGAGATTAAAATTAATGTTACACGTGTTTCGAATAACAAAACAATGGTCAATAATTTAAGAGTGTTAATAATAAAGCATCTCTAGATATACTTCTATAAATTATATTAAAATTAATTAAATAAATCCTTTACATTTATATTTTAATTTAAAATTATATAATTTATTTATTATATTAAATAAATATGTTCATAAATATTGAAATGTGTGCGATAGATGCTAAATATATGTAGGTTTTATGGTCCATCTCATCAATAAAGGAACTATAATTCTTTTTTGTTTTAATTTTGTAATGGGAACTGTTGATTGAACACAAAGTACTTCAGATCTTTGGGCAATAAAGTTATTGAGTGATTAGTGGAGTTTTGTTGGTTAGCACAGTGATGGAATCTTTAGCTTTATCATGTTTGTGATTTTTTTTTGTAAAGTTATAAAGCCTATCTTCTACTTTACGCAAGATTTTCTTAATTTGTATTTTATGCTTCTTTTTTTATTGATGAAATTGTTGGGCACAGCTAAAAACGATTGTAGTAGAAAAAGGCATATTTCACCATTTTCAGTCATATTTGTTTTTCAGATTTTTTATTACCATTAAATTAAGATTACTGTAACACCCCGAATTTCGAATTAAGAGTTTTCGGTCCTTCTTCGGGTCTTAAAATCAAATTTCCTCATCTCATGACTGTCTGACCCAAGTGGGTTTTAGTTAGGCCTAGGACAAGCCCAATAGAGAATAAAAGTGATGATTTTAATTATGAACCAAATAATGAGGGACTAAAAGAGCAATCATACCATGAAGGATTTCAAAAGTTGAAAATCCATAAATGGTTGATGATTTCACGATGGCACATTTGATTACCCAGTCCCCTTACTTCTTCTTTCCTCTCACACTCGAGCATAAAAGGTTCTAATTTTGTTAGTCTTTCACTCATCCTGAAATTTTAAGGTAAGATTTGGAACCTCCATCTCCTTAGCATTCTTTTAAGCTATTAAAATTAAGATTTGACCATAGAAACCAAAAATGAGTTTAGTAGGAGTTTAGTGTATTATAGCTCGTTTTTGGGGTAAGATAAAATTAAGAAAGTGTCCTTAGACTCATAATAGTTTCATAAACAAGTTAGTAACATATTTTCCATATTGAATTAGTGAGAGAAGTTGGAGAAGGTTCCAAAGCTAAAGGAAAGGAGAAGTTAGCTCTTGGGTGATTTGGAACGTTTTTCAGCTACCAAGACTCCAAGGTAACACATTTCTAACCTTCCTATACCATATGTAGGCCTCCTAGAAGTGCATTTGTGTAGCTTGCATTAGACTTGAAATATATAAGCATGTGCATGGAAAATCCTAGACTTATGTGTTTTCAAGCTTATAAATTGACTCTTTATGATCCTAATAAACTCTCATAAGCTTTTAATAATGTTTGGGAACCTCAGTAGGGTTGTGGGGTGATTAAAGAGTGATTCTCGTGCCCAAACAGAGCATTTTCAAGTGTGAGTATCGGGGTTGGAAGAACAATAATGATATTGTTCTTATGTAAGGCAAAAATAAGGGGGTTTTGGGATAGAACCTTGAGTGGTATCGATATTCTAGCAGGGAAGTATCGATACTCGTCATCTGGGAGTATCGATATTATCTTTTCATCCTAGCCTTAAATTACATGTATGGTATCAATACTCAGGGAAGAGTATCGATACCCATGAATCAGTATCGATACCGAGGGGCTTAGTATCGATACCATAGCACAATTTAGGACAAGGAATTTAGGGAAATTATAGACTTCGTTGAGGGATCCAAAAACACCCTAATACCTCCAATAAAATATCAAGTGAGAACTATATCAATAACGTAAATTTTACACTTAGAAACCTGATAATTTAGGAATTCATAAGATTATCCTTGTACGATGTTCAGGAAACGAGTCAGACACTCAAGTCGCTTTAGTAGCAGGAGGAATGATTATATGTAGAATGTTAAGACGACTTAACTAGTGCACAAGGCATTACAATTGCTAATTGGGCGTAGATGCCCCAAGACTTGACGGAGTAAATTAGCTGGGTGAACGCTTTCAATGTAGAATTTTGGATCTCACCCTTGGAAGGCTAGAGGGGTGTGTGTCTCTGAGATGTAGTGAAACCCTCCAATAATAACATGATGCCTACCTCTGTGGATATGTATAGCTTAGCATACTTGTATGCTATTAGTTATGTTTGCTAGCATGTGCATCAAAGGATACATGTAGTATAGTTTGATTATTAGTGTGGCACTGAGTTTGTGAGCTCAACGTTCGGAATTTGTTTCTGTGTGCAGGTTCGTAGGAAGAGCATTTTGAGGAGCCAACACGTAGAATACCTTCCAAATCGTCGCTATCTTTTGAGTACATCTTGAGTTTATTATTAATTGGCATGTAATGTATATGAACCCTTTGATATTCGAGTTGAAATGTTATATATTTTGGGATTTCTGTAAACTTTAATTGAACTGACTTTGGGGGCTCCCGTATTTGACAATTAAATATTATGTATTTATTTTTGCTATTACCTCTATGGATGAAGTTTAAGTGAATGTTTATGTTGTTCTAAAAAGAAAATTTTTAAAGCCAATGATCGAGTCACCATTCATATTCCGAATGATGCCACCCACCGAACTGTAGGAGGAAACTTTATGAACTGCTCCATTCGTGTTAAGAGTAAACCAGTCTGGGGGCGCTGGCTTCCATTGTACAAATTCTGGTCGAGCAGCAACAGAATCTGTTGGGGTAATGGTATTTGCTTCGGTGATATAAAGGGCCCAATTTTTACTAAGACATAGGAGCTGGTCATTATGGATGAACAAATTCGAGAATATGTATGCATTTCGCCTCTTCCAGATCTGCCAGGCGATGGAGGAGAAAAGAACCTTCCAGGGGATGCATGTGCCGAACTTTGGGGAATTTTTGAAGGACTTCAATTGGCGATCTCCCTTAATATCAAATGCCTTCAATGCCAAACCGATTGTGCCGAAGCTTTTAATCTAGTATCTTCACCAATGGCTAGCTGCAGCCCAATAGCCCTTATTCGCTCTATTGCAACTCTCATCTCAAAGCAATGGACGATCGAATTCATCCTCATTCGGCGTGAAGCCAATGCTGCAGTAGATTTCCTTGCCAAATCTAATGTTACTATAAATGAACAAGTTCGGACCTGCATGGAACCCCCCCAAGAGATTATACCTATCCTCCACTGTGACCTCTATGGTCCTGCCTCCCTCCGCACTTAGTATTTCTTTGTAATAGTCTCCTTTCTTAATTCAAAAAAAAAATTTGTAGGTAAACTCCGCACTATAAATGGACCTATTGCGAAGTTTTTCCCCCCAAAAAAACGTCACTATTGTTGCCCCAAAATCGATATATCTAAAAAAGAGAAAATAACCTCAGTGACCAAAAATCCCAAATAATATACGATTTTGATCAACTTTTTTTGGATTTGCGAAAATGACCAACAAAATCGCAATGCGATCTCTAATTCGCATTGCGATCTCCACTATCGCAAATTCGCGTTGCATTTCGCGTTGCGATAGTTGAAAATCGCGTTGCGATTTTCCAGTTCGCGTTGCGATAGTCTACAGTTGTCGTTGCGATTTTCCAAATTCGTTGCGATTTTCCAAATTCGTTGCGAAAATTCGTTAAAAAAAAAGATTTTGTTTCTTTAGAATTTTCTCTAAAAAGATAATATCCACGCGGACGTGTCGAAGACACGTATTACCATGACCACGACCACGACCACGACCACGACCCGACCCGACCCGAGACGAGACGGACGGCGGAGGCGACGCGCGAGAGTCCCCCTTGTTCTCTATCACTCAACAAGGAAGTGGGAAAGCCAAGCCTTAAATACCATTCTCAATAGTATTTCCAATACTATGTGGGATTGAGCATTACCAACACTTGTTTCCAATACAATGTGATTATTTAGGAAACAATTAACAATCATGCACCTTAAAACAACTGAATCAGCAACCAATTGCATTAGTATTATACGATTAAATATGTCATAATTAAAAGTCAATCTACAATCAATCGCGATTATTGCAATTTTAAGCAAAATATTCAAAAATAATATCATTATTTAAGGCTCAATCCCACATAGTATTGGGAACAAGTGTTGGTAATGCTCAAATCCCACATAGTATTGGAAACATTATTGGGAATGGTATTTAAGGCTTGGTTTTCCCACTTCCTTGTTGAGTGATAGAGAACAAGGGGGACTCTCGCGCGCCGCCGCCGCCGTCCGTCCGTCTCGGGTCGGGTCGGGTCGTGGTCGTGGTCGTGGTCGTGGTCGTGGTCGTGGTCGTGGTCGTGGTAATACGTGTCTTCGACACGTCCGCGCGGATACTATCTTTTTAGAGAAAATTCTTAAGAAACAAAATCTTTTTTTTTTAACTATCGCAACGACAATTGTATACTTTCGCAACAACAACTGTAGACTATCGCAACGAATTTGGAAAATCGCAACGACAATGTAGACTATCGCAATGTGAAATGGAAAATCGCAACGCGATTTTCAACTATCGCAGCGCGAAATGGAAAATCGCAACGCGATTTTCAACTATCGCAGCGCGAAATGGAAAATCGCAACGCGATTTTCAACTATCGCAACGCGAAATGGAAAATCGCAACGCGATTT